ACTCAGCATAATGTCCTCCAGGGTCACCCATTTTGTATAATATTTCATGAGTTCCTTGTTTTTTAATGCTGCATGGTTTGCCATTGTGTGAATATATCATAGCTTCTCTATACATTCGTTCGTTGATGGGCACTTAGATTGTTTCCAACTCTTTCCTATTATGAACAAAGCTGCAATAAACATGGGTGTGCATATATTGCTTGGGTGGCGGTTGTGGTTTCTTTAGGATATATTCCCATTAGTGGAATTGCTGGGTCCAATGGTCTTTTCTATTTGCAACTTTTTGAGAAAGGGTCATACTGCCTTCCATAATGATTGTGCAATTTTCCACTCCCACCAGCAGTAAATAAGGGTCCCGGTTTCTCCACAGCCTCACCAACATTTGTTGTTTGCTGTTCTGTTGAATTTTGCTACTCTTACTAGGGTGAAATGATATCTCATTGTTGTTTTGATTTGCATCACTCTTAGAGCTAGAGATTTTGAGCATTTCTTCATGTATGTGTTTGCCATCTGAATGTCTTCTTTGGTGAAGTGTCTGTTCATATCCTGTGTCCATTTTGTAACTGGGTTGTTTCCCTTTATCTTGTTGTGGTGTTTGAGTATTCTATAAATTCTAGATATAAATCCCTTATCAGATGGGTTATTACCAAATATTTTTTTCCCAGTCTGTGTCTTCCCTTTTTACCTTATTGGAGAAGTTTTTGGATGTGCATAGGGATTTGATTCTTAGAAGATCCCATTCCTCTATTTTATCTCTCCTGGTTGTAGGTTTTTCAGGATCCTAGACGACTGTTCCTGTTGTGGATTAGGGCTTCTAGAGTTCTTCCAAACTTTTCTCTAATGAAGTTTGTAGTCTTTAGTTTTAGTCTTAGGTCCTTGATCCACTTTCAGTTGGTTTTTCTGTATGGTGTGAGGTGTGGGTCTTGTTTGAGTTTTCTGCAGATATTTTTCCAATTTTGCCAACACCATTTGTTACTTGTTTCCCCAGTTAATTGATTTAATATTTTTGTTGAAAATCAGATATCCATAGGTAGATGGGCTGGTTTCTGGGTTCTCAGGGAGTTTTTTTGTTTTTGGTTTTTTCGGAGGGGGGGGTTGTTTGTTTTGTTTTTTAAATGCTTGCAATGTGGACATGCATGGGAACCTGAATTGAAAACCATAAAGCCTTGGTTTTCCTTCAAGAATTGGGTCTGCCACTTCACTCAAGCTCCAGCCGTCTCACTCCCTTCTGCTTGAGCTTGAGGGGTCCTACGTGGTCCACACAGCAGTGAACCCCACAAAGTACCTCACTCAAATTTCAGTTTTCCTGCACATTCCCCACAGCTTGCTCCTGGCAGCTTGCTCCCAGCGGCTCTGCTCCAGGTTCAGCTCTGCTCCTGGTCTGGCTCTGTTTTTCTTTAACTTTTAAATACATCTTTTTATGTATTCACTTACTCATTTCCATAATTTCAGAACTAAGTCATAGATGACCTCTAACAAGTTTTCAGAGGTTATAAACCCGACAAGAGGAAATTGTTCAGCTTTCTTTCTTGGAGAAGCTGGTGGATTTCAACTACCTATCTTTGGATTGGCAGCATAGCTTCTTACCCATTGTTGTTGTTGTTGTTGTTGTTAAATGCCGTCAAGTCGCAGATGACTCATAGCGACACTGTGAAGGAGAGTCCTCAACGCTTGGGTGTCTTTCATCCTCTCTCAAGGTTCACAGGGTTTCCGGAGGCAAGCTATTATGGAAGTGGATGCCATTCCTCCCCTAAAATTCCCTTTTATATTTATGTTAGATGCTGTCTAGTCAAGTACAACTTCGAGTGACCATGTGAATAACAGATCTGAACCGTGATCTATCCTGTACCATCTCTCTCACATCTCTCACACACTTAAGCCCATTTCTGCACTCACACTGCCAGTCTATCTTATTGAGGGTCTTCCTCTCTTTTGCTTACCCTCCACCTTTGTAAGCATGTTGTACCTTTTCAAGGAATAGCCTCTCCTTGCATAATATGAGACAAAGTTTCACCATCCTTGCCTTTAGGAGCAGTCTGACTGCACTTTTCCAAGGCTTAGCCTTTTTTGGTATATTGGGGTTTTTTTTTAGCAGTCCATAGGATATTAGGTGCTGTTCTCTAACACAACAACTCAAACACATCAATTCTTCTGTCATATTTTATATAGTAACAAATTTTAAATACACAGTGTGTTTTTCTATATAATCTATAGGCTTTATTTAGGTAATTGTGTCGTGAAACATTACCACATAATTTAGTAGCATATTAAGATTATCCTTAATTTGATACTGTATCATTATTATATGAAAAAATAGTGACTGGGTATATTTGGAACTAGAAACATTTTTGCCTGTACTGAATAATTTATGTAGTATTTTTAGTGATATCGGATTATTAACTATTAAGAATATTGATATCGTCAAATACTGCATGGTGCCACTGTTGTAAAACAGAACTGACCTTGGGGTAGGGGGGAGACTGAGAAAGATGGGTTCAATAATGTATACTGCATTGAAACAGATGAGGGAGAAAACTGTTTAAAAGGGATATGTGATTAGGTATTTTTGTCATGCCAGGAGTCTAGAGCGAAGACTACATGGTGAAGTGGACCTGGGGGAGGGTTTGTAAAATGATGAAAGAATTTTTCTTTTACTTTTCCAAGAGATGAGTGTACTACAGGGGAGGGTTGGGAGGGGAGAAAAGTGTAACAATGAATGAATGGAAATCCAAAGTCTCTGTAAATTTTTACTGAAATTAATAATAAATTTAAATTCAAAAACAAAAAACAAACAAAAAGAATATTGATATGTATCTTTTAACATCGCCAGACACCTGTGAAATAGAATGTTATTTGGTCATAATTCAGACACTTGTGTCTGTGGTGCACAAGACTGCTCTATGCTTGCTTGGCCCAGGCAGCTCTGTAGGGGTTACCTCAATTGAGAGCTCAGTCAGGTCCCACCCACCTGTTACTCTTTTCTCTTCTCAGTCAGATGCAGGGAAGGCCAATTTGCTCATGGGAACTTGCCAGGGAAAGGGACATTGCAGATCAAGGGGATGATGACTACTGAGGACACATACCTTCCCTTCTGCACTCTATGGGGCAGCACTCAGCAAAATTCAGAGACTAGATTCAGGAACTCAGGGAACTAAGGTTGGTGTTTTGGTCTTGGGCCTGTATCTACACACACTATGTGGCTTGTTGGCTATGCAAGGCACTGACCAATGTGGGACTCCAAATAAAGAAAAAGGTCTGGTGTCGTGCCTTGAACTGCATACTCAGATATTAACATATCTAAAAAAAGTCTTAAAAATAATTTTTTAGATATGTTAATAATAACTTTTTAATAAAATAATTCAGAGAAATAATGGACTTACAAAGTAAGAAATGTATAGGTTAACCTGTCATTTTATAAAGGAGGAAAATTTAGGATATGAGAGTGGTTCACTTGGTTTAATGGCAGTATTGCTATCAGTTGTAGTCGACTCTGGTACGTAACCAACAACAACAACAACAACAAAAACATACCACCATCACCTAGAGTTTTAAAAACAACAGGAGAAAATTTTTTTAATATATTTTTATTAAAGATAAGAGTTTTTAAAGATAATGATTACTGATACTGTTTCTGTTGACAGGAGGAAAGAGCAGATTTGGGTAAGAGGCCAGATACATTATGAGAGCAAATTATGGTTACCAGTTTTCTAGGATTCTCTTTTAGGTTTAGATTCTCAGTGTCAGAGAGAATAGCCCTGTCTGGCCTTAAAATGACCCTACAGCTAGAGCAATCTAGTAAAATAGTATGTTTGTGCTAACTAGTACAAACTTCTTAGGAAGAATGGTTTACATGTTCATTTAAATTACTTTGGACTTAAGAAAAGGAGTTGGTTATAGCCTTCTCAAAAAAACTTAGTGTGAAAACTTGAAAAATATAAACACATTTTCTGATGAAAGACATATTGAAGTTTAGCAGATTACTTTATAGAAGAAGATGAATACGCAATTTATACTCTGCAGTGTTTTTCTAGTTTGTCATTGGTTGTGATCCCTTTCTCTATTTGAGGTGTTCTAAAACTTCACCCTACTTGAATTGAACAGAAAGACATTCATACTGATTACCTTTTACTTTCATTATTTTTAAACTTTTGTTACTAATTTGAAAGCATTGTGTTGAAATTTTCCTGTCAATACATGACTGGAACTTAAGAATTTGAATTCTTCCTAGCCCTTTAAAAAGTAAAGGGTAAAGAAAATTTCTCCTTTGTTTTTGTATACTTTTTGTATAGTTGGGGTTTTTTTTTTTGTTTTTAATTTTTAGATTTATCTTTAGGATTGCCTTAAATTTATAAATTAGATTTCTTAAATCTCTGGAGTTATCAACATTGATTTTTTTCTTTTTTTCTAGTTTTGGGAAGCGTTCTGCAGGAAGCTTTAGGCGTGGCTGTGAATGCATTGTTTTAGAACCTTCTGAGATGATTGTGGTAAGGATACTGCTGTGTGAAGATGCCACCTTTTCACCCCATTTTAAAAAATAAAGACTTGAATAAACAACATCATTTTTGTAGTGTTAGATACCATTCCCATTATGAATTTGAAATAATAACTATATAGTGTAATTAAATGGAAGATTTAAAAATGGCCAAGTGAAAGACTTTTAAAAATGGGCAAATGAAATTTGAGGGAGAAATATTGAATTGTAACATTTTAACTCTCCAGATAGTAAAGTGAAAGAGTAATGGCGAATGAAATACAGTAGTGTGTTTTCAGGAATCAATTAGTATGAAAAATTAATTTATTTAAGTAATTGAAGAAATAATTTCAGGCCTGATGCTCAAATTGACATCTTTATTATTTTTTAATTAAATTGTATGATATTTAAAAGACATAAAACAGACTGTATCCAAATTAAATAGCAACGTTGTTTTATTGAAACTTTAAAAAAGTTATTTCTTATTGTGTAAAATAATTGTACAATAGAATATTATACACTCCTTTTTAAAATTGGAAACAAAAAGTATTATGAAGGGAAGGGAAGGGGAGAAGGGGAAGGAAGAAAATGTGCAACAATGGAAAAAAGATTTAAATAAAACATTTTCTGTTATAAAAACCAATGCAGTAGGAGATTGGAAGAGGAGATTTTGAGAATTTTGAGTGTTTTGAGTTGATATGGATACTCTTTTTCTCTGCCACCCCATATTGTAAGCTATATCTTATACAATAAAAAGTGGTCCAGTATAGCTAATGATGAAAGGTATTTGTTTTGTCTCAAAGCTAACCCTCCAGAGGGTTTCAAGAGATTTAAATCATATGGGAAGAGATTACCCATCTTTCTCCCTCAGAATTTGAATCTAGGCCTGTTTTCAAAGAAGATTTCAAAGAAGTTCTTTCCTATGATGCTGGAGAGGAAATTCCATCTGAGAGAACTTCCTCATTGAAGTTAGTGAAATTTCTGAATAAAATTTACTCTAAGAGGGAGAAAGTGAAATGGAGGGAGAATTAAGAATTGAACAAAAGATAGTTGGATACACAGGACTTTACAGTAGCAGTGTATACCACATTTTTTAGGTCTTTGCTGCAGATTGTGACTTCTGATAATACTATAGTTGGATTCTTGAAAAGTTTTTTGATATTTAAAATACGTTAAGTGGTTTGCATTAGATAATATTACAAAAACTCCTAGAATTGCTAGTGTAAGAAATAACAATCTTTTGAGAGTAATCATATATATATTTGACTTAAAAGAACTTTTGTTCTTTGTTATTATTCCATTCATCATTTTTCTAAAATGTTTAGAAATGTTTCTAAAATAGCACTATTTATTTAAAAAAAAAAAAACCACAAAATTTAAAACACAAACATAAAGCCACAAAAAGAAAGAAGGAAGAGAAACCCTTAGATAATCTAAAAGCCAAACTAGGAATTTTACATGAGTCATTTGGGATTTGAGATCCTTTTTTTCCTTTTCTGCCCCTACAGATTTACTTATACACATCAAATACTTGTGCTTTTACTTAGGACAATATGGCAGTTCCTTTCACATGAATTTGTGTCCTGTGAGATCTTTTGTGGGGGTAAAAAAAAAAATAAATCAGTGCGAAGACTCGTGAAACTACCCTTCTCTTTGAAATTACAGAAAATTCAGAATTTCCCATATTGTCTTAAGTGGAACTGAAAATGCTTCTTCATAAAAGAAAAGTTACTCAAAACCAGTTCCAAGGGAAGTCAGGCACACTTAATGTCTGGCTAGATATTTTGTCCACAGATGTCTTTTTACAAATGAATCGATATAGTTTATCTGTAAGTTTTTTTTGTATGCCTAATGTTAATATGGAATGCTGTGATTGGAGAAATGAAAGGGTTTGTTTTTTTTCTAATATAAATCCTATTTTAGGTGGACTATATGGATGAAAATGAAGAATACTTTCAACGTCAAGCGTCTCATCGGCAGTCTCGGAGGAGATTTAGAAAAATCAACCAAAAGGGGGAAAGACAAACAATTATTGACACTGTGGATCCTTATCCTGTGGGTAAACCACCTTTGCCTAGAGGCTACCATACGGTAAGTTACAAAAGCATAGTATTTTTATTTATCATTAGTTTTTGTTGGAGATTTTGTAAAAATATATATTTCTCCATTTTTAATGAATAATTAAAGTGCTGCTTTTGCTTGAAGCAGATTAAAAGCATTGGCATAGATGACATTGAAAGACGTTATTGTTTGCTTTTTGAGGATCAGTTTTGCGATTGGTTTGTAAAATTGCAGTTGAAATCTTTTAAATTCTTAAGGTAAAGTTTTATTTCTCTAAAGTGGTTTTGTATTTTACCTGATTTATAGTTAAAAAGTAGGAATATTAAAGTTAAATAATAATTTTTGTGGATTTTCATGTCACTGAGGATTTATTTTTTATTACTTTTAATATAATGAAGTGAGGTAAAAATAATTTGAAAGTGTGCTCTTTAATATTCACATAATTTTGAGTTATTTCTAATTGAGTCAAAACCAAATTGATTAAGGAAATTAGATACAGATAGATCATGATTTGTGTAAGACTTTGGTTAAGACTATTTTATTTTAGAGCCATGGTCTTTTCTGCATAGATATACTATGCTGTTTTCATCTTATAGCTATTCCAAATTACTTTATCCCCCAAAATTACAAATAAGTCCCATTCCTTAATTTTTCTTTAGGTTTAATTTGCATGAAATTCACAACAATTAAATATGTTTTGTATCTACCATCAGCAGAAGGTGTCTTACTATACATAGTAAGCAATGTACCTTTTAATGCATTAAAAAACATTGAAGGACCACTTCAGATACACTGAATCAATTATTATTAAGCATAATAACATAGTGATTATAATGTTGAGTAGTGCTTCTTTGTTACTACAAAACTGTTGCATGTGCCCCAAATTTTTAATATAATTGGCTTTGAAGGGTTGATTCTTATCTATGGGTAAGTAAAGTTGGCGAGTTAACACTTGGAGATATAAAATTTAAATATATGAATATGTTCCCTATTTTCAATGCAAAACAGCTTAAATTTATGGTAGTTTCATAATAAAGTGAAAGATGGGTTCTATATGCAAAGAGTATCATTAAATGATTAGTAATGAAATTAATAGTCAAAAATGTGGAAAAATGGATAAATATTTTACATTCTTATTTCTTCTTATTCTTATCTATCCTCTCCTTGTGAATAAGTATAAATACAAAAGAAATGTATTTAAATTGAAATTATTAACTTGATTGTTAATAACTTTGATAGATATTTTATACCTACATTTCTTATCTTTGCAAAAGAGCTCTTGGCATTTGAATATTTAATACATTTTTGACCACCAGCTCTCTGCCTACTCCCCTGCTACCATGCACTGTTTTAATCTAACATGAATTTCATAGTTGAATCATTCCATTGAGCTCATTTGAAGAGGGTTGCTTTTTACTCATCACAAAGACAGCTTTGTTTGTCTGTTGGAGAGACTTGGTTTTTTTTTTTTTTTTTAAAAGACACGTATGAAAGGTTTTTTTGTTAACATTGTCTATAAAGGAAGGTAATATTTTTAGTGTTGATGCAGCCTAATAGAAAAAGGAAATAAGTATTAAAAATAGTCATTCATGTTCATAGTTCCATATTCAATGTGATATTTTACCCTAATAGTAATAATATTATTTTTTTTTTTATTTTTTGGAACGGTTTTCCAATTCAGTAAACATACTGAGATAGAGGGAGTGTGGATTATGTAAAATTTTGTGTTAATATTGATTGGTTTAATTTTATAATTGTATCTATCACATGTAATTGGAAGTGAGCATTTCTTAAGCCTTTCTTTCTTCACCCCCATCTTTTTTCACTCCTTGAGTGGAAAGCTTCACTTACCATTTTTAAAAGTTCTCTTTCAGGCTCTGACTTTATTTAAAAAATAAATAAATAAAAGAGTGGTGGTTTTTAAAAAAATGATTATTACATGATTCTTTTTTAAAATGTCAACAGATCCTTTTTGTTTTTAAATATTTAGTACTAGAATGAACATTTAAACCTCATTACTAATTATATAGTCTTTTACTAAGATGTAACATGTTGGCATTAATTTTACTAAATGAATTAACATTTGCAACATCATGATCATAATGAAATATATTGAATCCTTTTCTTTTTGTGAAAATGATATTTTAATTGTATTTACATATTATATTATTGAAATACATATTAGGACAAGAACAAGAATTTTTGTGTGTGCTACCTGACAAAAAGAATTAAATGGAAATTATTTGTCTTCATAGTCCTTAAGTCTTATTTATTTATCCTTAATAGAGATTATTTGTGTGAATAAAATGGGTAGCAGATCAAGATTGAGGGTGAGAGGTTTATTGAAAAGAATTGTGTGATTGGTCATACTTTACTGGTGATTTTAAATGATTACAAATAGATTTCAAATGCATGGCCAAAGAACACAGAAGTACATACATATCACCAATTCTGTATGATAATTTTTAACCTAATTTTAACATTATCTTCGTTTTGGCAGATGTACTATAGCATGTCTGATAATGTTCATCTTTTCCTTTCCTCCTTTATGGCACTCATTTCATTTTGGCTCAAAGGAATGCACTAAATCTCAGGTAATTTGTGTGTGGTCTCCTAATCCTAACCCAAGTTTATTTGTGATTTTGCATTGTAACTAATGGGTTTACAATATTGATGTGTTTTGCTTGGTCTTTCGTTTGTATTTTGCACCGTTTTAGTAAAATTTCTTAAACATCAAAACTGTCAGTGGTAAACTAGTTGACTAGATGGTGGCAGAAGTGGCTTAGTTTATAAAGATTGAGGGAGGAACTGCCTACGTTTGAAGAAAGAAATGGAGCCTACTTATTTCTAAGGATGTAATGAACACTGTTTCTTACTAACTTGCATTGCATATAAATGGAAGGAAAATGACACACATAGTGGACTTTTATTGCTTTTTATGTAAAAGCTTATAGGAAATTTACTAGATGGGTACCTTTTAATGCTACTAATAGAAAGTCTTTGATAGCATATTGAGAGACCATTGGTAAAATAGTAGTTACAAGAGAGATTTAGTCAAAAAAGAAATAATTTATAATCTCTTTCATTTTCTTATTTGTGCTAATTTATTTTAAACCAAATTTTATGCTTTTATTTCATTCTATATATTAATCATGAGGCCTATAATTCTTGCTGATTTCTTTGCACAAATACATGCTAATTTATGAATTTTTCTTTTAAATTTTATTTTTGTTTTTTTCTTCCATTTACATTGTGTTTCTTATAATCATTCCTGTGAATGGAGTCTTATAAAATTAATCACCACTGATCCATGCCCACCATCACCCTACCTCCTCAGATCCTTGCTGGATCTTTCTGAATAAATTACAATTTTTAATGTAACTTTTTGGAAGTAGTAGGAATTAATAATTAGAGGAAGAAAATCTGAATTTTCTGTGGGAGCTAACTAGTTAAATAAATGAGTAAATTTTAATAATTGCTTTTTAAATTTTAAAGTAGTCTTTCAACATTTAATTCACTTTAGAGGAAGTCTGCCTAAAATATATGTTCAGCTATTATAATCTTGTCTAAAACCATGATCTATTTGTGAAATTTTTCAAACTCAACTTCATGCCTTATACAAGAAAATATGCATTAAATTACCATAGGTAGTATGACTGTTATGTTGTCTTTTAGAAGCACTGTTAGTTTTTAAATTATACAATCTTGAAAAAATGAAAAAGAAAAAAATCCACTCTGAAATAGATTTTTATCAGGAAAGGAGAAATTTTAAAAAATGCATAACTTCCTATTTTAAAAGATGAAATGCTATTTAATTAATTCTCTGTTCTTTAACATGAGAAAAACTACTCATTAGTTTCATTCCCCCTTAGAAGTAGAAATTGAATTTAAAATGTGTACCAAATCATGATGTGTACATTATATACATTTTTAAAAGTTAGATGCAATTGCAGTAATTTAAACCATGTTATGATGATTTTCTTCAGAAACAGAAATAGTGTACGAAAAGTGTTTTCTGGACTTTTTTCTCCCCAAAGCAAGTGTGCGAAGTTCGTACAGAGAATAAGCATTTTAAAATGCAGTGAGAAGGGAACATTGGAGATAGTTTTCATTCGCATTTTCTTGCATTTTGAAGAGTTAGGTTGAGACTTTTTAAGGTTGTCAGAAAATAGGATAAAACAGGAAATTTCAGTCTTGCGATATGTAACATGTATAGGTGTGTCATCAGTAATACCCCTAATGGAGAATGAATGATTTGATATCAATTTCTAAAGACACTGGTTTGTTATTTTATACAGTTCAGAAAGAGTAGGGACTAAAAAGCCCTGTGTTTAATTTTATCTGTAATTCAGGGCCATTTCGACTTTCATGGGTAAATTTATTCTAGTCGTTGTTTAAGTTGGGAAATCTGAGTTACATAAACAAGATAGCACGAAAACACACTGCCATCGAATTGAGACCAACTCATAGTTGACCCTCATTTGAGTTTCTGAGGCTGTATGTCACACAAGAGAATATTGCCTATTTTTGTATTTGAACTGCCATAGAGGCACTTCCCTTTGGGTTAGAGGCAGAACACCTTATAGACTATGTCAGTAGAGTTCCCTAATAAAAATGGCTATTGTAGTTGTTATGGATATTTGAGTCAGAAACAACTCACAGCTGAATCTCCAGTGGATTTTCAGAGGCAGTAGATCCTATGGGAAGATACTACCCATCTTTCTCCTACAGAGCATCTGGTGGATTTGAGCCACATGTCTTTGGGTTGGCAAACCCTTTACTAAGCCACCAGAATTCCCTAGAGAGATGAGGAAATAAAACTTCAAGAAAGATTGGAAATCTAACCTTAGCTTTTCCTTGTTAATATCATGTGGTAACCTTTTCAACCTATATGCAGAACAGATTATCCGGGAGGCTGGGCTCTATGAGGAGAAATGTGGGGTCAAGATTTGTGGACGAATTATCAAAAATCTGCGTTATGCGGATGACACAACCCTG